TTCCTCCTTCTCCCACATTAAAGATTTTTAATCATCATATGAAGTGAGTTTATGCTAGATATTTTTCTCACTACTAATCTGCATGTAGAACATTTTGTGCTCCCCGGAAACACATCACCTTCTCTCAAACTACTTTCACTGATTATTTTTCAATATTCAGAATTGTTACTTACCCAAGCATATCCCCAATGTTCCTGCAATCTGGCAAAATTAAATTCTATAGGATTTTAGGCTTTATTAGCTCTTCAGATGACTTCAAAATAGAAAATCCTATCTTCAGCAAAACTGTCCATTGAAGACTAACTTATACCAGCAAAAACAAAATAAAACCTAACGCTGAGAACCAAAAATCTAAGCATGGGAACAACATAAAATTCTATAAGGAGACATATGTAAACTAAAAAAAGATGGCATGAATTCAGACTGCATGCAGCAACGTGAAATGCAAAAAAAGGACAGCCTTTCCATTGCAGCCACACACCACAGTCAGGGCAGCAGCCAAGAGATACTATTGGCAAGGTGGTATCTTGGCATCATGACATTTCAAGCTATTCATGCTCCTGGCATTTCTAAAACATGGTAAATTCATAGTCCTACAATGGGTGAATAAAATTTAAAATGGAATGTGCAGGATGGAAGCAGATGGTAAGGAATATCAACAGGGTTTCCCAACCCCGAATGTCTCACATTGCATCTTCCCTGTCTGAACCTCTCTTTACGTAAGAAAATAACACACTTCCTTTCTTCACTATGAATCGACAATTTAGTGACAGTTGAAGCAAATAAATAAATAAATAAATACAAATACTGGCTTTTCCCATCCCTACCTCAGCAATCTGACTTGGAAGTTTCTACTTTTCTTTCAAGTTTTCAGTAGATAAAACTGATGACTGCAACTTCCTCCTGAAAATTACCAGGTTCAATGCAATGAGGAATAAATCTCCAGAAGTTAAAAAGAAACATGGACAATAAAGCTAGTATCGTCAAGCAAGTAGATTTCCCTCTCTACCTGGTACCCACGACTAAACTCATGAACACACAGCGCCAAACACAGGCAACAGTATTTCTTTTCTTTTTTTTTTTTAACTTTTCTTTTAACTGTGAGTTAATTCAGAAGATTGCTATAAAGCAGAACACTATATACAGTACTCTGTATAGATAATACAAAACATAAAACCCAGGATATTGGTGGGTGCTGGTGATGAAAATTTCGCAGCTGAAACTTGCTCAACAATAAATTGTAGGTCAATATAACTTAATCAACATGGCCTATCCCTGTTTCTTTTTAAAAATTATTGTTATTTCTTTATTTCTTTTCAAACACAACCATCTGAACTGAGTATAACAACACTTATTTAAAGAAGAATCATATCATTTATTTAGGATCATAAAGTCCACTAAAATTTACGTAAATGTAATGCTACCCAAGCCTCAATCGAAATTAGCAATGAGGGAAATTAACAGATAATCATCTTAAGATACTAAACAGTTTTCTTTGGAAAAGCTTGACCACAAATAGCAGTTATCATGTCTGAACTACAGTAAGACTAAGTACAAATTATAGCTGCAAATGGTCTTAAGCTGCCCAGAAAAATCTACCAACTATCACACCATGTATAAATCTACTATCACACCATGTAATTCTTTATAAAGAAATTAGTTTTAAAGACCAGTCTGTGAATATTAATATAAAACAGTAACAGTCTAATGACTATATTTTCCTCTCTTTATTTTAGTTTAAACACAATTAAGATTATAAGCAGTAAACTATACTTCACTAGCAAATGAGTATCTGGAACATCCAGTCATCTTTTTGTCTTCAATACTTGCGAATTTTCGTATCATTATCAATTCGCATGCAGATGGTCGTAAATCAATATGATCAGAACTATCATATATATAAAACTGATTTTATATTTGATGTTCACAGACAAATCTCTCAGCTTACAACATAGCTAAAAGGAATAATTTTATTGAAAGAGCACTTTCACTGGATTTTACTTAAAGAGACCAACTACTTACCTCAATGACCACACACTTATGAGAATGTTAATTTACCTTTTCCTCTACTTGGATAAATCTTAACACACTTCAGATTTAGCTTAGACATCACTGCCTTCACTTCCTGGTCTACCACGCAAAGTAAGGTGCTCACCACAATCACTACCTAATGATGCTTTCCTTACTGTTTCGTCCACTCGCAAACCACACCAATAATTCCTCTCACTGCTTACAACTGCATGCTTTACCATTTCTAATCTCCACTGAACAAAGAGCTCTGTGAAAGCAGCAAGTGTGTTTGCCTTGTTTACTATTTGTTCATCTTCTGTCCATTCACTGAATGGAAGAACTAGGACAATAAGAGATACATCAACCCCCAAATAAACAGAATGTGACTGAATCAGCTTGGAAGGCTTATATTCTGGAGTTCCTGGTACCACACACAGAAGTTATAAAGAACATTTTTATGGTGACACAACATAACTATACTATATGGACTGTTAGAAATGAAAAGTCATGTATGAACCATAGAGCAATTACAATATTTGAAGTCTTTTCTCCCTGAAAAGCACAAAAGGTATATAAAAACTTACTAGATGTAATAACACCTGATTTTGTTCAGTTTTCAGCACAGCAATGAACAGCATAATGCAACAGACAGAGAGAGCTTCCGTCTCACTCTTCCAACATTTTAAAAATTCTTGCCTCTATTTTATCAACAATAACAAATCTGGCATGATCCATTCCACCTGTATCATTTCCACAGCCCCAAGGGAGAAACATAAAGAGAAGGTCAGAGTAAAACTCAGTTGGGGTCCATATAAAAGAGATGAAAGGCAGAAAAGAAATCAAAGAACATCAGAGCAATCCCTGCCTTCTACACTTATTGTCATCAATAGCACACAAACTTAGAGCCTTCCATGGTAGACAGGAATGCAAACTCAACTTTTTTTTTCTGTGTGATAGGAAGCCCCTGCCTCTAACCTCTGTTTCTGCGGATAAATGAGGATTGATGAAACTTTTTAAAAGAAACTCAAGGCAACATACTTTTCATTGTCACTGGAATATAAGTGAATATTTATGTCCCAGCAAAGTGAAGAAAGAAGAATCACTCAGGAAACCTGCAAAGAAACTACCTCACACAAATTACTTTAGGAATAGCTATTTTCTAATTGGTATATCTGGGTGCGAAAGAGTGGATTCTCTTCTGAAAAGGCTAAGTTCATGTCCAGAGAATAATGTACAGGAAGAGAGTGGTTGCAGCTGCAGCACTGGCTGTTGCTGAAATTATTGAGCAGGCATAAGAAACTGCGAATAAACACAATGAACAGAGTAGGAGGCATCTCAAAACTAACGTCCCAGAATCCTGGCTTGTAGCTAGGCTGGTGAGAGAAGATGCAGCTAAAATGCAACAACATAAGAAGAGATATCCATCATGATGCTGTATTGTAACAGTGTCAGCAGCAATTACTGCTGTCAAAATTCTACCTTATATATTCTGCTGAGGTTTTCTCTCTGAAACAATTTAAGTCTTAATTTACAGCCATCTTGATACATTACCATCTGCCACTGAGGTAATTTTAAGGACATAATGGAAAGGAAGCAAAACAGAAATTAGAATATAAACAGATATTACCGATATTGATTACTACTTATAACTTACTCTAAATCCTGATGGCTGATAAAGGCTGGATTGAGAGGACTACCTGGGCGACCTGGAAGACCTATTCGAAGTCTACTCTAGATGAAGGACAGAGGAAATTAAGCACTAGCAGTTTGCATCTGCCATCTGCAATCTGATCCAGTGGTTCTCGGGCAGTGCTATTTTCTAATGGATACATGACAATGTCTGAAGACATTTTCACTTGTCCCAACCTGGTGAGTGGGAAATTTGCTACTCAGAAATGCCAGAGTATATATAATAGTAATCCCTAGCCCCAACAAATAAATATAGAATATGTCTGAGTATCAACGCGGAAGATGTCTTAGAACTATCAAAACCACTTTAAAAACTCCCCTAGAAAACTCTTCCCCACATCAGAGTCTCCAAGTTTTCCTCAAATGACCATCCCCCATCCCAGGTGCTGATGCAGTCTGACAGCAAGGAGCAGTCTGCTCCCTTTCTTCTCTGAGAACACAGCAGAAAGAGAAAAAAACCTGAAAACATTTGTCCCATCAATCTTCCTCCATACCTGGATCCTCTAATCAGAGGCCCACTCAAATATGTAAATAACATCAAAAAGGAAGTAAACAAAATGAAACAAAAAGCCTGCTTCAATTCCAAACTCTCAGCTAGCCCTGTGTGGTTCTATCAAGCTTCATCTCCCCTTAAATTGCAGGAACCTCATCTGCCCTCAGCACTGCTTTTCTTTTTGCCTAAGTATTTGGCCCACTGTTTTAGAATGCCATGATGTTTAACATTCTCAGCTGTTAAATCAATTGAATATTATATAATCTAATACCTAATACTCTGACAGCAGATGCCCAGCAAGTTACAACATTACTCATCATGCTTCATTTCGGTACAATGGCAAAAAAACAGAAAACAGCAAATGAATATATTTAAACAAAGACTTTGTCAAAGGCTGTTTATACATAAGTTTCCCACTATTTTATCTTACTTAATTTTAAGAAAAAGCATGCAGACGCATAACAGTGACTCAAATAAAATCCTGTCTTCTCTTAGCACATGCTAACAATAAATAGTTAAGCATGAAGGACTCAGAGAAGACAAAGAAATTAAACACAACAACTTGTATATAACACTTCTATATCATTAACAAGGATTACAGAAATAATAAAGAAAAATGCCTAAAGTAATTTTAAAAAGGGTAAGACATTTGCAATGACTTACAAGCAGAAATGAGTATAAAAAAATTGAGTTTTCTAAGATATTAGTTAAGTTACAAAGTCTCAGAGCCATATTTTAGTGACATCTTTCGGATTCACTGCAAGAAGTAAATCTATGTGAGTGTGTGTTTAAGATATCGAAAACATACCTCATTCTATTTTCCGTATCCTCACTATCTGATTCTTCAGAGCTTCTGTACTTATCAGGATCTGGAAGTGTGCTCGGATCAAACCCACCATCATCATCATCATCACTCCAATCCAGAAAGGCTTCTTCTTCATCTTTGGCCTATGAAAACACAGAGAAATTGCAGCTTAGGAAACCAGTTGGTAAAACATCAGGTTTTACTTCTAGACCCAAACTGACACCCTGCCAACTGACATTCTCAAATTCAAATCCTTCTTCTGGTGAGGGTTTCTATGTAACCTTCAGAATCACAAATACTTGCCAAGAGAAAGAAAAAATCATATCATGCCAAAATCGAAGAAAATGATTCAGAAAGAAAATCATTACGAAGTTGCTTATGCCTAATACTGACAACGTGTCTATTATGTTCACATATTAATAAAAAAACATGTGTAAAGTTTCAGTGCTCATGATTATGTTTCAAAATTACCAAGAACATTATGTGAAAATATATCAATGTACAAGATCAGAAGCAAGAATTTAGTAACATTTGATGCTAAATTTCACAATAGTCCATCTTTAAAAAAAATTACAACTGTACAAGCATAAGTCAAGTACATTAGTTTTCTAAATTCAAATACAAACACATCATCATTAAAAAAAAAAAAAAAAACAAGGAGAAGAAGAGGTACACCAAAAGATGGGAAGAGCAGTAGTTTTTGGGCAAAGGTGGGGCCTGCCCAGTATCACACACAAAGGTGAGCTTTCCTACTTACTCCTTTAAGACTAACGCAGTATGACTCTCACTACACATAATGTTATGAACATTATTTATAACAAATTTCTTTCTGACATACCAGTCACCTAACATCTAATAAAGCACTTCCACAAGCATTTAACAAAACAGTATTCAGCCATAAAAAAGAATGAAATCCTTTTTGCAGCAATATAGATAGAACTGGAGAACACTATGTTAAGTGGAATATACCAAATATCACGCTTTCCCTCATATGTAGAAGCTTAAAAAGAAGTTCCAACTCTCCAATCACAAAATCAAGTCAAAGAAAGAGAAATGTTGATTGTTAATAGGATGTTGGAACTGCAGATGACAGCTTAACTCACTACGCCACAGCAGCACCCCTTAAAAATATTTCCAATAAAATTGCTTTGTTAAAGAAGAAAACGTAAACAGTAATTTTGGACCAGATTTTTCCCAGTTGCCAACTTTATAATTCTGCACACCAAGTCATTCAAACTTTAACAATTCTTTGATCTCAAATGATTAATGCTTCCCCAGAAACTGAGTAGCAACTCAGAATAGCAAATCAATCTACTGTAGAGCCAGCCAAAGAAATCCTCTAACACTCTCTGAACATGTCTCCCTTGATAACCTTAGAACAACAAAAGGAACAAGAAGTAAAGGAAGTGGGGATTAGTCAACATTGCAAAAGTCTCCTATTGTATAGCTTTCCTGACAAAGCCCCTGGTAAAAATGAAACCTCTTGAAACAAATATGAGAAGGGTCAGGGCAGGATAGGTAGTGCAGGGTGGGAGGCAGAGTTGCCATGAGAGGGAGTAAAAGGCACATCTGACACCTACTTGAAAATAATCACACATATCAACAAAAATCAAATGTCAACATTAAAACACTAATCTGAGTTACAAGATATTTTCAATTTTCCAGCCTACTGCTCTTAGAAGAACATTTGTTTGAATGTGAAGACAGCACTCAAAGTAGTTTGTTTTTTTTCAAAGCAGTTTGTTTATTTATTTTTATTAGAAAGACAGATTTACAGAGAGGAGATACAGAGAGAAAGATTCCTTCACTGGTTCACATCCCAAGTGGCCACAATGGCCAAAGCAGAGCCAATCTGAAGCCAGAAGCCAGGAGTTAGGAGCTACCTCCAGGTCTCCCACGTGGGTGAAGGGTCCATCCATGGCTTTGGCCCATCTTCTACCAAGGCAAAAAGCAGGGAGCTGGATGGGAAGCAAAGAAGCCAGGATATAAACTGGCACCTCCTATGGCATCCTGGCACTTGAAAGGTGAGTATTTAGCCACTGAACCATTGCACAGGGTCCCAAAACAGTTTTCAAACTTTTGAGTGTCAGGCATCATTCACACATAAAAACACTAGAGGACTCTAAAAAGAGCTTGCGTTAATAAGGAGGATTTTTATAAACATTTGCTATATTACAATTTAAAAATTAAAACTATGGGTTTAAAAATATTTAGTCATTTGCTTATCTTACTATAAATGAACAAAAAGAATCTTTATGAAAAATAGCTGAAACTTACAAAATTAAACATTATTTTTCATATTTTTCAAAGTGTGTCAAATCTCTGGTTTAAAAGACAACAACTAGATTTTCAAATCCGCTTCTGCGTTCAATCAGTTTATAGGGTATTATTCTGGTTGAAATACAAAAAGACAGTCCGGCCTCTTAGGCAGGTAGTTGGGCAAAGAAGTCATTTAAAAATTTTTTTAAGATTATCCATTTTACTTACAAAGTCAAAGAGAGTGGGAGAGATACAGAGAGAGAACTTCCAGCCACTAGTTCAACCCCCAAATGGCTGCAGCAGCCAGAATTGGGCTATTCCAAAGGTCGAAGCCAGGAACCAGGTCTTCCACATGGACACAGACCCAGGCACTTGTGCCATTCTCTGCAGCTTTCCAGGCCATCAGTGGGGAATTGGATCAGGAAGTGGAATAGCCAGGACATGAACTGATGCCCATGTGAGATCCTGGCACATGTGGGAAGAGGATTAGCCTGTTAGACAACTGTGCCAGTCTTAGAATGAGACACTTTTTGAAATTAAAATCTTTTGAAAGCCACAGTTAGGAGGAGATAGAGATATCTTCCTAATATTGGCTGACTCTCCACAGGGCTGTAAGAGGGGAGGCAGGACACAGGAGGGAGGGGAAAGGGCAAGAGAAAGGGAAAAGCAAAGAAAAAAGGGAAGGGAAAAGGGGAAAGAAAGCAAAGGAAAGGATAGTCCAAGAAAGTAGTTTATTAAGAAACATGCTGCAGTCTCTCCAGAATTCTGATGTTAAAACCCAAACTTTAAAATAGTTTAGGTTATAAAGTACGGTGTCCTCATAAATGGGATCTGTGCACTTAAAAAAGAGGTCCCAACAAGAGGCACCATATGGGAAGCAAAGAATGAGGCCTCACTAGTCCTCATCAGATCCAGATCTGCTGCTGACTTGATCCCAGGGCTCTCAACCTTCTGAACCAGGAGCAGAAGACTACTGGTATTCACAAACTCCCCCGTCGATTTTGTTGCAGCAGCCGGAACAGATTAAGACAAACATGATTTTATTTAGCAAATCTTCATTAAACAAGATAATGTCCTTTCTCTTCTAATAAAATGAGTCTCTTTGAGTCAGCTGCCCACAGAAGCACTAAAATGACAGCCTATTCTAAATACAGAGTGCACTAATCAATACTAAACTGACTCCATGGTGCTGCTATACGCCTACCAGTAAGTAAGAAGCAAATTCTATATCCCTTACCAAGTCATTGATTATGAGCTCAAGCTATCAGCCTATTACTTTATCTTCAGGTATTTTTACTACCTGTCTCACTGACTTGCCTCTCTAGCCTTGCAGCCTGCTCAAAACTCAAAAAAAAATTTATTTATTTATTTTTACAAAGTCAGATGTGCAGAGAGGAGGAGAGAGAGAGAAGATTTTCCATCTGATGAATCACTCCCCAAGTGACTGCAACGGCTGGTGCTGCACCGATCCAAAGCCATGAACCAGGAACCTCCTCTGGGTCTCCCACGCAGGTGCAGGGTCCCAAGGCTTTGGGCCGTCCTAGACTGCTTTCCCAGGCCACAAGCATAGAACTGGATGGCAAGTGGAGCTGCCGGGATTAGAACCGGCGCCCATATGGGTCCCAGTGTGTTCAAGGCAAGGACTTTAGCTGGTAGGCCACCGTGCCCGGCCCAAAAGAAAAAAAAAAATTCTTACCTTCCCACATGTCCATGTACCTCTTTTAAGGACTTGAGAAATTTTTAAAAAGTAGTTTATCCACACAAAGAAATCAGGGTGACCTCTATCCAGCAACTGTTCCTGAAACAGTTTCTGAATCTCTCAGGGAAAAAAACTACCTGAAAGAGCAATGGATTTTTCCCTAAACTAGTTATTTGGAAGATTCATTTATAAGTACGGCAGGCAAAGATATCCACAACAGAAATATTACCCAGTTAGCTTTTGGTTGTGATGATAACAAAAAACACAAATACGAAGTGACATCTACATCAAAAAAGACACTTACAAAGCACTTTGACATATATTATCTTACCTGATCTTTAAGCCCTGTGACCTAGAACCAAAAAAATTCACTGTTCCCATTTTTAAAATTCATCAATTATGATTCAGATGACTAAATTACTTAACCAAGGTCATATAAACCTGAAGACAAGTTAGATACTCTCATATATCATCCTAAATTGCCAAGTTCACCATTAAAACTTCGGGTTTGCAATTTTTTTTCAGTTCATGTGTATTCTGTAAGCTTCATAAAGCCAGGGTTGCTTCGATGCTCCCTTGTATATGTCCATCTCAAACTCATTAATCTTGTCTTCCTCTGTTTGCTACTGCTGCAAGCACTGCACAGTTGCCTAATGGATCCCCAAAAACATTCTGATCACTTGACTTCTCTGCTATAGTTGGAATTTTACATATATAAACTTCAATGTGATGTATCTAGTCAATTTTCTCTCATGTCCTGGTGAAGGTCAAGACTCTTTCCACTTGATTGCCTTTGATTATGCTACTTCTCTACTGGAAAACTCTTTGCAGGTCTCTGGCCTGATGTGCTTCCAAACACCCAAAATGTGGTTTGTCGTACATTAATTTTTTTCCATACTAAATCAGGGTCCAATAATTTAACTCAGTTAAGGTACAAGTAGGTATATTGCAGATCCCACAAGACCAGGGCTCAGTCTCTTAAGACTCCTGTCCCTTCAGACATGAGCAGCTACAAATGGGGTCCCAAATTACTCAAAATGTACCCAGTACAGGACAAGAGTTCTCACAACCTCCAACTGTAGTCCCAGGCAAGTGTTACACTGCTGGGAAAAAACAGCCAGTATCTGGTGGGAATTCTGGGCCTGGTTAGTGACAAATTTGTGCTAATTATACCTCATGCCAGAA